GTGGTGAGGTTGGCCCAGGATCGAGCATTGTTTCGTTCTGCTGTGCATGGGGTCGCTATGAGTCGGTTCTGACTCGATGGCACCTGACAACAACAACAATAGCCAGAATGCTCCTTAGGTGTCAGGATGGTGAGACTTTGTCTCTCATACTTTGCACATGTTTTCAGGAGGGACCAGTCCCTGGAGAAGGACATCAGGCCTGGTAAAGTGGAGGGTCAGTGTAAAAGAGGAAGACCCCCAAGGAGATGGGGTGACACAGTGGTAACAGCAATGGGTTCAAACATAACAATTGTGAGGATGGCACAGGACCAGGCCTGTTGTGCATAAGGTTGCTGAGTCCTGGTGTGGTGCTTAGGGTAATGCACTGGACTGCAAAGTCGGTTTAAGCTGAAAGGTCAGCAGTTCAAGCTCACCAGCTGCTCCTCGGAAACCCTATACAGGGTCACTATGAATTGGAACCGACTTGATGACACCTAACAACAACAATAAAAAAAAATTTTTTTTAACAATCTAAATATTCAAAAGTATGAAATAGGTTAGGTTATAATGCATCCATACAACAAAATCATAGGGTCCCCATTAAACTGCTATTTGATATAGTAAAATGTTCATAATTATCAATACAATTAAACAGATTATCCAAGAGCATGTATGGTATGATACCAATCTTAAAAACTATTAAGTGGTAAGGAGGAAAAAGAGACACACACCTGTTTACAGTGATAGGATTTTTTGGTTTTGTTCTAGTTGGAATTTTAGAAATTGACATTAATCCCTTTGAATGGTACCACATTCAAAAGGTATAAAGGATGTACATTAAGATTTTCTCGCCTTTCCTTGTCTCCCAGTCACCGGAGGCTATCAGTGCGTCAAAGGATGGTTTTTAATTTCTCCTTCGGAAATTTCTGTCTTTTCCTTTGTGATGGGGGGCGACTCGAGTACACCCGTAGGTTTGCCCGGGGGCGGAGCTCAGCTGTAGTCCCGCCCACCAGGCGTAGCCCGTGTCCCCTGCCCCTCCGCAGATGCGCGCACGCCCACGCTGGAGCCGGACACGATGCACGCGCGCCTGCGCCTCTCGGCCGACCGCTTGACCGTTCGCTGCGGGCTGCTGAGCCGCCTGGGACCGACGCCCGCTCTGCGTTTCGACGCGTTATGGCAGGTGCTGGGCCGCGACGGCTTCGCCGCGGGCCGCCACTACTGGGAGGTGGATGTGCAGGAGGCGGGTGTCGGCTGGTGGGTGGGCGCGGCTTACGCCTCCCTGCGGCGCTGCGGCTCTTCGGCTTCGGCCCGCCTGGGCTGTAACCGCCAGTCGTGGTGCCTCAAGCGCTACGACCTTGAGTACTGGGCCTTCCACGACGGACAGCGCAACCGTCTCCAGCCCCGCGACGACCCCGAACGGCTGGGCGTCTTCCTTGACTACGAGGCTGGCATCCTATCCTTCTACGACGTGACGGGCGGGATGAGCCACCTGCACACCTTCCGAGCCTCCTTCCAGGAGGCGCTTTACCCGGCCCTGCGGCTCTGGGAGGGCGCCATCAGCATCCCCCGGCTGCCCTAGGGCCAAGACCCGAGCCAGGCGGAACTAGTCTCCGGCCTCCTCGCCCGCGGACACCTCCTCACCGCTCCCCACCTGGCAAGCCGCGTGCTCTGAGCGGTTCTCGCCACGTTGCTGCAGCTGCTGCCCTGACCACTCTTCAACTGCGGGCTCTGCGGGCTTCGGGAAGTGGCGCCCCACACAGAGCTTGTTGATTTGTCAAAATTCTTTATCCTCAGCCTCGGATCCTTCTCCTTCAGACAGCTCCTAGAGCCTTGCCTGGCACATAGTAGGTACACAGGAATATCGATGAGTGGAGAGTTCCACTCCAACTCTTCTGTCCTTTAACTGTCCCTTTGGATTTGTCTCCTCTACTTTACTTCCGCTTGTCCATGTCAAAGCAGTTGAAGAGTCTGTTAACACCTGCTGGTCTGAGTCCTCTTTTACTTACAGCTGGAGTGATCTGCCTAAAATCTCACTTAAGCTCTTAGAACTATCTAGGAGCTCCCCAAAAATGACAATGGGTGGCGCTAAAGACACTTCATACTAGCATTCAAGGCCCTTCTAGTCTGGCCTAGAATAATCCCCTCATCAAGTCCCTGTTGCTTATCTCAGGGACCATCTTGATCAGAGCTCTGGGTCACAAAGACCCACTGTGGCACCTTTGCCTTTGCTGTTATGTACCAACTCCCCACCCCCCACCCCGCCACACACACACACATGAATCCAGGGAAGCCCTTTCTTTCCTTTGCCTGGATCAGGCTTAACTGCCCCAGAAGTCTTCCCAGCCATATGAATCGCTTACTGTCAGAGTCACAATCATTGGTAGTTTTATGAGGGCACCTGTGTCTCTACACACTCGCCACCATGAAAAGTTCAGGGACTGGCTGTCACTGAATCACAGAAAAGCTGAGCTGGGAGGGCCTCACAGATCATGCAGTCAGACTCTTCATTGTGTATCTGAGAGTAAAAATCCTAAAAGCTCCCCCACAGTGGCTTTAAAGCTGGGCCAGGTCTTGCTCCCTGTACTCCTGGCCCAACTTTCAACCTGGGAGATTTTACTGCTTATTCTCAGGGGATGTTGGGGAAAAATCAGCAGGTGACTGTTGCTAAGCAACCAGAGGCAGTTTTCCCAACTGTCTTGGGACAAAGTAGAGCTAAGTGGACTATGGGCAGCCCCAGACATCCCTATGCTCCTCAGATCCAGATGTTGCCAAGGAAACCCAGATAGCCCTGTTTTCCAGAGACAGTGGCAGAAATAGAGGTCAAACCAGTAGATTCTCACAAGGAGCCAGCTCCCGTAGCAGGGAGGAGTAGGCCTCTTTGTAGGATTTGTGCCTCAGTTCTGATGGTTCAGCATCCTGATTTTGTTAAATTCCCAAGTTGTGGTGTGAAGCAGCATTGTGTTAAAGCATCTTCTTAGGTACTTGATGGGGAGGGCAATAGGATAAAGAAAATGACCAGCTGAATCCCCCTCCTAGTCTAACTCAGCACACAGATGAGGCTGATCATAATGAAACTGCTAATTTCTTATTTTGATTTAAAAAGGGCATTTCCATGTGTCAACCTCATACAAGGTAGAAGACACCTCCAAAGTACTTTTAAAAATCTAGTTGTATAGATGTCCAAGCATTATAAAGCAGGTATCCCAAGAAAAGGGAAATTCATTCTACTGGGAATGGCCCAGAGCTGAATTCTGATAGGCAGAGAGTATTCCAGATGTAGGGACCATGGGTACTGGGTACGCTTGACCCCTGCCTATCTCTGCCTGTCCTTGAAGACCCACAACCACAGGGGTCAACTAAAAACAGCACTGACTATATTACCAGGCTTTACAACCCTTCTGCTCCTCAAATCAACCCGAGGAGAGGCAAGTTATTCTCCCAGTCTACACATCAAAATGGACAGATGTGTAACTTGCCCAAGGTCACAGCCAGTGGAGCCCCCACATTTCAGTGTGACTGCAGCTGTTCACTTCTAGTGCCTGGCCACTCTGGCTCTGTTGTTGATCTGCCCACCCTCACCCCCCCACCCCCATTGTCTGTGATACTCTTCTTTGGCCTGGTTACTCCATGGGACTTAATACTACTTTGGGATTGCCTTGAGAGGGGAACTTGCCTTGAGAGTTTGGAATCCATGTAGCAGAAACAGAACTGGACTTTAAAGGACAAAAGCAAGCTTTAATCAAATGTGTATCTTGTGCCAAGGCCTGGGCTAGCCAGAAACAGTAGTTTTGGTCCACAAGGTATTAGGTGACTTAAGGCTAGTCACTTTGTACTTCTCGGAGCAGCATCTGTAAGATGGGAAGCTCAAATGAGCCACAGGTTATGAACTTGCCTTAAAAACTGCAGTGTTATATGCCATGCCCGGACCTGGTGGCATCATGAGCAAAGTTATTGCAGTGACCTCTCAGCTGCCCTTGGGAGCTTTTGAATAGTCTCAGCAAAGGACTCCAGCTTCTTGGGAACCCACCACAGTAAAGGGGCCAATTCTCTTTCAGATTTGAATTTGCAGAAATTGCTCTACTAGCATGGTAATTGCTTGCGTCTACCTTAAATTACAACAGTTTTGTAATATCTGAATTAATAAACTAGGAATTTAATCATGTTCTTCGTTGGGAGCTCACATGTCACTCATCTCCTCCACAGCTTTCTTGCCAAGCAGTTCGTTGGTCCCCAGTTATCTCTAGTGAGGAGTTCACTACCTTTAAAGATAACTCACAAAGTTCTTACTTGGAAACAAACCCTGCTTCCAAGCAGTTCCTACCCAAGATGGTATTTTGTAGCTTTTGGTATCTGGTGATCCTCTTCAGCAATATTGAAACCATTTGTGGTCAGTTACTTTTTAAAGATTTCAGGGACTCTTGTGGCAGTATGTATATACCCTTCCCTGTGGTAACATCTCTTTCATTTCTGCAATTCCTCTGTCAGCAGGGAGAAGCTGAGGTCAGCCCAGTAGAGGCCAGCTTAGCAAAAGGCCCAGAGAGATGACCCCAACCAGACCAGAGCTGGTGGGCAGTGGAGTCCACACTATGATGAGGGGAGAGCCTGCATAAGTAGCCAAGTTGCACCCCCAAGGTGAAGTAAGCATGAAAATGGAGGGCCGAGGTCTCACTCTGCTGTGCCTTGTTTAGAAACCTTCTGTGGCTTCCAGTAGTTTATAGAATAAAGTACAAGCTCTGCAGATTCAGAGTCCCCTCAGGAGCTCCTCATCCATTTTCCAAACACTTCTTCCTTCCCAATGTGGCCACGCCCTGCCAGATAATTACTTGCTAGTCCTTGGACGCTCTGGGCATGAGAGATGTCTGTGCCCCAAATCACTAATCCCTCCCTCAGCCACTTCCAACACACAAGATTGAACTAAGATTCTACTTCTCGTAAGCCTTTCCCTGGCCAAGGCCCCCTCTGAAGTCTCACACCCATTCAGATTCTCGTGACTCTTGGTAAACATCTCAGCAATTCACACTATGTGCATGCGCCCTGTTTGTGGAATTGTGTGCACTTGGACTGGCCATGAACTCCCATGGAAACCTGTTTTCTTGCTGCGGGCCCAATACTGCATCTCCCACTCAGCAGGCTCTTAGGATGTATGCTAGACCTGAACTCCCCATCTCAAAAGTAATCCCTCAGCCCTGGCAGTCTGAAAGGACATGAGGGTGGCCAGTAGTCCTGGCTGGACGTCTATGTTCACTCACACATAACATAGACATGCCATAATTTTCTCTACATGCCCTAGACAATCACCCTGCTTCACAAATTCATCCAACACATTACACAGCCTTCCACAAGCATATCCAAGGTAGCACCAAGCCTGTGCGTTTCAATGACTTTTCATGATTTTTCCTTGGGGTAAATTCAGCTGGGGTTTACAGAGCAGCCTGGGCCCTTAAGACCCTCCCAGTCCACCAGAACCTGCAGGCAACTGCCTCCCTTTCAGAAACCAGACTCTGCACATTCTCAGCAAAAGCCCAGCCCAGCTTTCTCTCATTTTGTATCCACATCGCTCTCTCTCTCTTGGTGGATATCTAAGATCTTTGCTTACATACCACCTCTCTACTGTTGTAGGAAAAAAGGGTTATGGACTCAGATATTTTTGTTTATAGGGAGATATGACGGGGATCAAATCCCAGTCAGAAATCAATATCACCACACTTCATTCCTTAGTACATCCATTTTATGGGTTCTCTTTGACACATGAGTACATCACTGGACCCTGTCCCCACCATCACCATATAATCACCACCAACTCTCACATCTTTATGGAAATTGTTTTGGAGTCCATTAGAGAGGGGTCCTATACTTAAAAGTAAACTTCAAAAAGCTAATTATATGCATTTGAAGAATGACTTGAAACATATGGACCATAGTAAACAAGGCCAAATAAATATAAATAACTGGAAGTATTTGACAGGAAGTATTGATCTTGTTAGTGGTGAGGATGACATTGGAGTCGCCATGATGCTGGGCCAAGGAAGTAAAACGGCAAGAATCCTTTTTGTTAGCTGAGTTTACATATGAAATAACACTGTGTAGATGATGGAGGGGCTGCTTCCAGCATTCCCACCACATGCAGACCCCCAACCTGCACTTCGCACCTCCTTTTGCTGCTCTGGTCCCAATGCACACATCAGCTTCTACACCCTGTGTGACTGCTCCCTTCCTCACTGTGCCCCAGCTAACTGTGCATCTGCCCCCATCCGAATGAAGGCACACACAAGTGGACAATCATTGCTCACTTTGGAGCCTGCCTCCCACTTTGGGGCAGCCAACATGAGTAGGAGATTGCCTGTTTGCTCTCTGTACACTTCCATAAACCTGGTCCAGAAATATCTGCTGCCTGGGGAATGGTGTGGTAGATAAAAGGCCACCACCCTAATCCATCTCACATGACCACACACACCTGACAATACCAGCAAGACAATTGTAGTCAGAGAATGGCACTTTATTTTAAATTTTGATTTTTTTGCCATGATTTTCTACAGATTCTTCCATGATGGTGTCGTCTTCTTCAACAGTGACTAGAACCTTCTTGC